TGAATGTGCCCTTCCCAAATCCTTTGCAAATATAAGTCGTTTGCAATCTTTACATCTGGCTGGAAACAATTTAACTGAAGAACTTCATCAGTTCCTTCAAAAGTTGTCTGCGGCAGAGGACTCATTACAGGTTTTGTATGTGTTTGACAATCGACTTAGTGGTCCATTGCCTGATTTTACAAGATTTTCTTCCTTAATAGAATTGTCTGTTGGCTCTAATCAATTGAGTGGGTCCATCCCAGAAACTTTTGGGCAACTTTCTAGTCTTGTTTCTCCAGTTGTATGGAAACCAAATTACAGGGTCAGTGCCTGACCTTTCAATGTTTCCATCATTGACGGATTTAAGACTTGGAGACAATCAGTTGAATGGTACTATACACAGAAATATTGGACAACTTTCCAAGCTTGAGCATTTTGATGTCTCTTTCTGCTGGAAATTTGTGTTAATGCATATAATAAGATAGTGGCATATGATAGTAGTGTTGGTGGTAGATAGTGGCATGTATAGAATATGATAGTGGTGTTGGTGATAGATAGTGGCATGTATATAATATGATAGTGGTAGATAGTGGTAATATATAATATGTAAGTGGCATATAATGGGTTATAATGATGTTTGTAATATCTCCTATATAAGGAGTGTCATTTGGTCTTGTAAAATACCAAATATACCACGTGAATCACAACGCGGCATAGAATGCGTTACCACTTTGACCCGAGTAAATCGACACTCGGGGCCCACCTAAAAAAATAGACCGAACTTAGGAAAAAATTCTTAATTTATCCAGAATTTTATAACCATTTCCAACAGGGTGCACCTCACATCTCTATCGATCGTTAATTTGGCATACAATAATTTTTACGGGAAAATTCCGAGATCAATGGGTTCCTTAGGAGAAATTGATACTCTGAACTTGCGCAGCAACAATTTCTCGGGGGGAGTTCCTTCTTCATTAAAGAGATGCACAAAGTTAAGAATGTTTGATCTGGGAGAAAATAAACTCACAGGAAAAATACCAGCATGGATAGGAACACATCTAACAAGTTTAATTGTTCTTAGTCTACGATTCAATGAGTTCAATGGAAGCATACCTCGACATATATGTCACCTTAACCAAATTCAAGTTTTGGACTTCTCCCATAATCGTTTATCAGGAAACATACCACACTGTTTTCACAATTTTACTGCCTTGGTGGAAAGTAAGAGTTCTAGTGCAACCATTTCTTTTTATTATATGAAATTTTATGGCTCTTATGCTCAAAGTGGCACCTATATTGACAATGCATTGGTGCTGTGGAAAGGAAAAGAGTCAGAATACGGAAATACTTTGGGACTACTAAAATGCATTGATCTTTCTAGCAATGAACTTGTTGGGAAAATTCCTAAACAAGTTGGGAGTCTTGCAGGGTTGGTTTCGTTGGACCTATCAAGAAATAATTTGACAGGAAATATCATCCAAGAAGTTGGTTGGATGAAAATGTTGGAATCTCTTGACTTGTCTGCAAATGAGCTTTCTGGCTTGATTCCTGCCGGCCTCGCTGATCTAAATTTTCTCAGTGTGTTGAATTTGTCAAATAACAGGTTGTCGGGGAAAATCCCAATAAGCACTCAATTGCAAAGCTTTGATCCCTCTGTATATTCTGGGAACCCTGAACTTTGTGGGCTTCCACTTCCGAATAAGTGTCCTGGAGAAGAAATAGTTGTGGAACCTCTAGTTATTGTTCAAGAAGATGACGACAACTTTATTACCACTGGATTTTACATTAGTATGGGGCTGGGTTTCACCCTTGGATTTTGGACAGTTTTTGGCACTATGATTTTTAACAAACCATCTAGACATGCTTATTTCGAGTTCTTGGACCGCATAAAGAATTGGTTTTATGTGACAACTGCACTACGTATGGCTAGATTGCAAAGAAGGCTTTAGAGGTAAGTATCTTTTTTCAATTTTGCTACTTCAATTATCTCTCTGTGTCTTGATCATTGCTAACAAGTTGGACATTTTTATTTATTTATTCTTTCAAATCTTACATAAGCTGATTTATGCACACACTGGCTATTTGCTTGAGCTTGTGGTTTTTCTTAGGTCTATTTTCTAATTATAGTACACATGTGCAGGTCTATGTTGCAAGCTATCTTCAGCTTATTGCTCCCAAGATCTATCTATATGGTAACTTCTATTATTGCCACCTTAATTTTTTACCAATCAATGGCTTGACATCCAATATATGTTTAGTTGTCTTTGATAAATAAAAATGATCCAAAAATTAGCTTTAACTTCTGATCTCTTTCTGTTTAATTATTCAACTTCTATTCCTATATAAATTTTTTTCCTCCTTTTCTTGCAGAAGTCATTCACTCCTACTATAATTTTGCAAAACTAATCTTGTAATAATAACAGTTATGATGATGTTCTCTGCCTTTGCAAACCTAACAAAAGCATTAAAGTTGTGCCATTTTTATGCAATGATACTGAATTAATCTCCTGTTTGTAAACTAAATTGATGGCGGGCCAATATTTAGTTGGCTTTAATTTAACTGATAATCAAATTGTTTTATTTTTTTGTTGTTTCCATTATTTTGCTATGTTTTAGGATACACCTGAGAGACACGAGTAGTGAGTTTGGAGTATACGAGGTGGAGCTATCAGCATAACTGTTTCTCTATGGTTTTGTTGAAATGATGAAATAACTTCATTAATATTTATTTTCATTTGTGGATTGTATGTTTGTGTGTTTGTTTTTGCTATCAAATGTGTTTGGAAGGATGGCGATCAAATGTTTGTAATTTTCTAGTTAATTTTATAAATTATTGAGTATGATTATGATTATATACTGGTGACTTGTTTGCTACCAGGAAAAATTGATTCGGTGGGCTATGTCTAGGGTTCGTTTGGGAATTGAATTTTTTTAATAGTTTTTTTGGCTTTTTGGAGCTCATAGGGGGAAGTGGCTATTTTAATTGACTTTTTAGATTTTTACAGAAAAAAATGTAAAAAATTAGAGAGAGATGTGATTGGGTGTTTTGGTTTTTTTGGCTATTTTAATCAAAAAGCCAACATAATTAAAATATAAGGTAAAAAAAATTAAAGTGTTTGGGATTGATTGTTTAACTTTTTAGATAATAACTTTGCAAAAAGGGAAAAAAAAATGAATTTTTGATTTTCTTATATGATTTTTTGATTTTTTTTAGTGGCTTTTTGACTGTATTAACTAGTTTTCCAAACAAACTAAAGAAATTTGTTCTGCTTTCAAGAATTTAATTAAAAGATGCATAAATCTTGTTTATTTGAATTTGTTTTCTACTTATACTTTATGTGGGTGGATATATCTTTCATAACGTGTTATGAAAAGTCGGTTTCATATTTTAATAGTGTAAGATTAAAATAAAATATACTAAGAAAAATTTTAAAAATAATTTTAGTAATAACTCTTGTGACAGATTAAATTTAAAATTTTTAAATATTTCTTCGTAAATTTTAAATTTCAATATTGTATCAATCTCTCCATTCAATTATTACCGTTGTTTATTTCAAATTTATATAAAATAAGAAGAGGATAAATTATATTTTACTGTTTGACCATTTTTCTTTGGCTTTCATATTTTTTTTTCTTAATTTGACTTTCCATGCTTCAAGTTTTTTTTTTAAAATTTAATTTTTATTTAAAATTAGATAGAAAATATCATGTTATCTGTCACATGACATAAAAATATATTATTATTTTAAAATCTAAATTTGTGTTTAAGGGTATGAGTTATATATAATAAATACTTTTGTATAGTGTAATTATTAATGTATCATTTTTTATCTAATTTTAGATATGAAAAAGTTAGTATAGAATAAAATATGTTTGTATGATGTGGTTGTTATTGTATATTTTTTTGTCTTTTGTATACAAGTTAACGTAGGGGTAAAGATTTGCAACATGAAATAATAATACGACTCGAACTGTACACGAAGTTAGAGAGTTAGGGTTGACTATTTTATGATATATGACACAATCCGATAACACTAATATTAAACAGATCAGATTAATGTCAAATTTGTATAACATAACTAACACGAATAACCCGTAAAATGAAGAATTAGTTACACATTTTAATATCATTTCCACTAAAGAGTGTCATAACATTTTTTAATCTCTTATGTAATTATATCCAATTTATTAGAAAGTACAAAAAAATATGATTTTAAGTTTAATAAAGGTATTGTTTTTGTTTTTAATTGAATTTAATGTATTTTTTGTCTATTATTTGAGTAAATCTAGTAAAAAAATATAATAATAAAATATAATTTTTATAAATTAAGAACATTAAATTAATTTAAAATTAAATTTTTTTATAAATAATTTCATTTAATAGAGGTTAATTTCATTAAATTTAACTTGTGAATAAAGTTTCAATTTTTTTCATACATTTGATATTTTTAGTTAATAGTAAAAAAATTTGACATGACATGTTAACACGACACGAACCGAACACAAATCGAAAATAATACGACACGATAATATGAAATAATAAACGAGTTGAGTTAGTATTAAGATAATTCTGATATGAAATCTAAGATGACATGATATGAACACGACCAACACGACGCGACGCTCACCCCTAATTTAACTTTTGAAAGAAGACTTCATTAGCTAAACTAGTTAGTTAGGCAAAATAAAGAGATTACATTTTTTTGTACTTTTAATAGGCATTTTGCCTAAGAGCATTGGAGTTGCTCTGACCGCTTGTTCAAGACAACCCCGCATTGAATTAGTGACACAATTATATTTGTTGACTCTCAATTATAAAAGGTGGTCATTCCTTGCTTAAGAGAACTAAAAAAATTCCAATAATTGCAAATCCTCATTGGTGGCTGTATTTGCTGCCTCATCTTGATATTAATTTTTGCTGCATCATCATGAACGTGTTCATGAAAATGGTGCTCAGCAAAAAATTTCATCAATTTCTCCATGTGTTTATTATTATCGTCACGCTTTTACTATACACGAAGCCTGCTGTTGGACTCTCCTCTAGAGTTGAAGAAGATGCTAAAACCAGGTGCATAGATAAGGAAAGACAAGCTCTCCTCAAGTTCAAAGAAGCTCTTGTAGATGATTACGGTCGTCTCTCATCTTGGGGGAGTGAAGAAGATAAAAGAGATTGTTGCAAATGGAGAGGAGTTTGGTGCAACAACCGCACTGGTCATGTCACAATGCTCGATCTTCATTTATCAGATGATCCTTCTTATCATCCACTGCAAGGTAAGATTAGTACTTCATTGCTTGCATTGCAACATTTGAAGTATTTGGACCTCAATGGAAATAATTTTTATGACGACATCACAAAGTTGGGGAACTTTTCTAAGTTACGGTATCTTTATCTTGGCTACAATTTTGATCTGAAGTGTGAAAATCTTGAGTGGCTTTCTCATCTTTCTTTATTAAGTCACTTGGACCTTAGTTATGTTAACCTCAGTAAAGCAGTCGACTGGGTTCAATCTATCAATAATCTCCCTCTCCTAAAAGAGTTAAGGTTATTTGATTGTACACTTCCTGCTATCACTACTCATCCCTCACATCCTTTTAATTCTTCTCTGTCTCTTTCTATACTTGATCTATCTTATAATGATCTATCTTCTTCAATATACAGTTGGTTGTTCAACTTTAGTAGTAGCCTTATTTATGTAGACCTTTTTGGTAACCAGTTAAAAGGTCCGATTCCTGATTCTTTTGGAGGCATGATTTCCCTCACAAATCTTGGTCTTGGTTACAATCATCTTGAATGTGCCCTTCCAAAATCCTTTGCAAATTTAAGTCGTTTGCAATCTTTACATCTGGCTGGAAACAATTTAACTGAAGAACTTCATCAGTTCCTTCAAAAGTTGTTTGCGGCAGAGGACTCATTACAGGTTTTGTATGTGTTTGACAATCGACTTAGTGGTCCATTGCCTGATTTTACAACATTTTCTTCCTTAATAGAATTGTCTGTTGGCTCTAATCAATTGAGTGGGTCCATCCCAGAAACTTTTGGGCAACTTTCTAGTCTTGTTTCTCTTCAGTTGTATGGAAACCAAATTACAGGGTCAGTGCCTGACCTTTCAATGTTTCCATCATTGACGGATTTAGGACTTGGAGACAATCAGTTGAATGGTACTATACACAGAAATATTGGACAACTTTCCAAGCTTGAGCATTTTGACGTCTCTTTCAATTCATTAAAAGTCGTACTCTCTGAAACTCACTTTTCTAATATGTCCAGTCTGAAGTTTTTGTTATTTTCTTCAAACGCATTGCTAACTTTTAATTTCTGTTCTGACTGGGTTCCTCCTTTCCAACTTGATGTTATACAGTTGTCCTCTTGTAAGTTGGGGCCTCATTTTCCAAAATGGCTTCAAACGCAAGTTAACTTCTCCCACCTTGATATCTCAAGTGCTGAAATTTCAGATGTTGTTCCTAGTTGGTTCTGGGATCTTTCCCCTGGTTTAATTTATTTAAACTTGTCTAACAATCTGATCAAAGGCTTGTTGCCTGATTTATCATTGAAGTATCATGGTTATCTTAGTATAGATTTAAGTTTGAATCATTTTATGGGTCCAATGCCACTAGCTCCTCCTAATGTAACACTTTTGGATCTCTCCAAAAATAAGTTATCGGGTTCACTCTCTTTCTTATGTGCAATTACGGGTATGGAGCTCACCTATCTTGACCTCTCAAATAACTCACTATCAGGAGAGCTTCCAAGCTGTTGGGTGCACCTCACATCTCTATCGATCGTTAATTTGGCATACAATAATTTTTACGGGAAAATTCCGAGATCAATGGGTTCCTTAGGAGAAATTGATACTCTGAACTTGCGCAGCAACAATTTCTCGGGGGGAGTTCCTTCTTCATTAAAGAGATGCACAAAGTTAAGAATGTTTGATCTGGGAGAAAATAAACTCACAGGAAAAATACCAGCATGGATAGGAACACATCTAACAAGTTTAATTGTTCTTAGTCTACGATTCAATGAGTTCAGTGGAAGCATACCTCGACATATATGTCACCTTAACCAAATTCAAGTTTTGGACTTCTCCCATAATCGTTTATCAGGAAACATACCACACTGTTTTCACAATTTTACTGCCTTGGTGGAAAGTAAGAGTTCTAGTGCAACCATTTCTTTTTATTGTATGAAATTTTATGGCTCTTATGCTCAAAGTGGCACCTATATTGAGAATGCATTGGTGCTGTGGAAAGGAAAAGAGTCAGAATACGGAAATACTTTGGGACTACTAAAATGCATTGATCTTTCTAGCAATGAACTTGTTGGGAAAATTCCTAAACAAGTTGGGAGTCTTGCAGGGTTGGTTTCGTTGGACCTATCAAGAAATAATTTGACAGGAAATATCATCCAAGAAGTTGGTTGGATGAAAATGTTGGAATCTCTTGACTTGTCTGCAAATGAGCTTTCTGGCTTGATTCCTGACGGCCTCGCTGATCTAAATTTTCTCAGTGTGTTGAATTTGTCAAATAACAGGTTGTCGGGGAAAATCCCAATAAGCACTCAATTGCAAAGCTTTGATCCCTCTGTATATTCTGGGAACCCTGAACTTTGTGGGCTTCCACTTCCGAATAAGTGTCCTGGAGAAGAAATAGTTGTGGAACCTCTAGTTATTGTTCAAGAAGATGACGACAACTTTATTACCACTGGATTTTACATTAGTATGGGGCTGGGTTTCACCCTTGGATTTTGGACAGTTTTTGGCACTATGATTTTTAACAAACCATCTAGACATGCTTATTTCGAGTTCTTGGACCGCATAAAGAATTGGTTTTATGTGACAACTGCACTACGTATGGCTAGATTGCAAAGAAGGCTTCAGAGGTAAACGGTAAGTATCTTTTTTCAATTTTGCTACTTCAATTATCTCTCTGTGTCTTGATCATTGCTAACAAGTTGGACATTTTTATTTATTTATTCTTTCAAATCTTACATAAGCTGATTTATGCACACACTTGCTATTTGCTTGAGCTTGTGGTTTTTCTTAGGTCTATTTTCTAATTATAGTACACACGTGCAGGTCTATGTTGCAAGCTATCTTCAGCTTATTGCTCCCAAGATCTATCTGTATGGTAACTTCAATTATTGCCACCTTAATTTTTTACCAATCAATGGCTTGACATCCAATATATATTTAGTTGTCTTTGATAAATAAAAATGATCCAAAAATTAGCTTTAACTTCTGATCTTTTTCTGTTTAATTATTCAACTTCTATTCCTATATACATTTTTTTCCCCCTTTTCTTGCAGAAGTCATTCACTCCTACTATAATTTTGCAAAACTAATCTTGTAATAGTAACAGTTATGATGATGTTCTCTGCCTTTGCAAACCTAACAAAAGCATTAAAGTTGTGCCATTTTTATGCAATGATACTGAATTAATCTCCTGTTTATAAACTAAATTGATGGCCGGCCAATATTTAGTTGGCTTTAATTTAACTGATAATCAAATTGTTTTATTTTTTTGTTGTTTCCATTATTTTGCTATGTTTTAGGATACACCTGAGAGACGAGTAGTGAGTTTGGAGTATACGAGGTGGAGCTATCAGCATAACTGTTTCACTATGTTTTTGTTGAAATGATGAAATAACTTCATTAATATTTATTTTCATTTGTAATTATATTGTGGATCGTATGTTTGGGTGTTTGTTTTTGCTATCAAATGTGTTTGGAAGGATGGCAATCAAATGTTTGTAATTTTCTAGTTAATTTTATAAATTATTGAGTATGATTATGATTATATACTGGTGACTTGTTTGCTACCAGGAAAAATTGCTTCGGTGGGCTCTGTCTAGGGTTCGTTTGGGAATTGAATTTTTTTAGTAGTTTTTTTGGCTTTTTGGAGCTCATAGGGGGAAGTGGCTATTTTAATTGACTTTTTAGATTATTACAGAAAAAAATGTAAAAAATTAGAGAGAGATGTGATTGGGTGTTTTGGTTTTTTTGGCTATTTTAATCAAAAAGCCAACATAATTAAAATATAAGGTAAAAAAATGAAAGTGTTTGGGATTGATTGTTTAACTTTTTAGATAATAACTATGCAAAAAGGGAAAAAAAATGAAATTTTGATTTTCTTGTATGATTTTTTGATTTTTTTTAGTGACTTTTTGACTATATTAATTAGTTTTCCAAACAAGCTAAAGAAATTTGGTCTGCTTTCAAGAATTTAATTAAAAGATGCATGAAATTTGTTTATTTGAATTTGTTTTCTACTTATACTTTATGTGGGTGGATATGCCTTTCATAATGTGTTTTGGAAAGTCGGTTTCATATTTTAATAGTGTAAGATTAAAATAAAATATACTAAGAAAAATTTTAAAAATAATTTTAGTAATAACTCCTGTGACAGATAAAATTTAAAATTTTTAAATATTTCATCTTAAATTTTAAATTTCAATATTGTATCAATCTCTCCATTCAATTATTACCGTTGGTTATTTCAAATTTATATAAAATAAGAAAAGGACAAATTATATTTTACTGTTTGACCATTTTTCTTTGGCTTTCATTTTTTTTTTCTTAATTTGACTTTCCATGCTTCAAGTTTTTTTTTTTTTAAATTTAATTTTTATTTAAAATTAGATAGAAAATATCATGTTATCTGTCACATGACATAAAAATATATTATTATTTTAAAATCTAAATTTGTGTTTAAGGGTATGAGTTATATATAATAAATACTTTTGTTTAGTGTAATTATTAATGTATCATTTTTTATCTAATTTTAGATATGAAAAAGTTAGTATAGAATAAAATATGTTTGTATGATGTGGTTGTTATTGTATATTTTTTTGTCTTTTGTATACAAGTTAACGTAGGGGTAAAGATTTGCAACATGAAATAATAATACGACTCGAACTGTACACGAAGTTAGAGAGTTAGGGTTGACTATTTTATGATATATGACACAATCCGATAACACTAATATTAAACAGATCAGATTAATGTCAAATTTGTATAGCACAAAGCTGACACGGATAACCCGTATAATGAAGAATTAGTTACACATTTTAATATCATTTCCACTAAAGAGTATCGTAACATTTTTTAATCTCTTATGCAATTATATCCAATTTATTAGAAAGTACAAAAAAATATGATTTTAAGTTTAATATAGGTATTGTTTTTGTTTTTAATTGAATTTAATGTATTTTTTGTCTATTATTTGAGTAAATCTAGTAAAAAAATATAATAATAAAATATAATTTTTATAAATTAAGAACATTAAATTAATTTAAAATTAAATTTTTTTATAAATAATTTCATTTAATAGAGGTTAATTTCATTAAATTTAACTTGTGAATAAAGTTTCAATTTTTTTCATACATTTGATATTTTTAGTTAATAGTAAAAAAATTTGACATGACATGTTAACACGACACGAACCGAACACAAATCGAAAATAATACGACACGATAATATGAAATAATAAACGAGTTGAGTTAGTATTAAGATAATTCTGATATGAAATCTAAGATGACATGATATGAACACGACCAACACGACGCGACGCTCACCCCTAATTTAACTTTTGAAAGAAGACTTGAAACAGCCAAAATGAAAAAAATAAATAAATAAAAAGTTAAAATTAGAAAATAACAAAATAACCACACACAAAAAAAAAAAAGAAGTCAAACTTAAAGAGGGTCAAGCGAAATTTACTCAAATAAAAATTAATTTTTACCGTCAACCCTACTCTACCGAGTTGACGCTCGTCTTCTTCTAAAACCCTTCCCCAAAAACGAGTTGAGAATGGAGATGAAATAATAAAGAACTTCTTCTCTTTAATAATTTAAATATTTAGATGAATTGATATGTGATGTTTAATAACTTAATTCAATATTTGAAATAAACAAGTTTGTTTGATTAAAATAAGGAATTTTTATTGATAAGTCCAATTTAGAAGTGTTTTAACCCAAGAAGTCCATGAAGGAATTTTTTAACCCATTTAGTCCTATGTATGTATAGTTTTATTCCATAAAGTCCATTTTCTTGATTTACACTATTTTCTTGGACACTTATGCCCTTATATTTAATTTTGATACCCTTATAAATATTTTTTGAACGATTAGCAATTTAATGATGTGAACATTCATATTTTAAAATTCACATTTGTAGGAATGTAAATTGGCCTGTGGACGGGCCGAAACCCTCCCGCGAGTCAGGGTGGGCCCGGCACGTTGACAATGTGAATATTCACATTGACATGTTAAAATTCACATTAATAGGAGTGTAAAATTGGCCTCCGTCCCGTGGCGGCGCGAAACCCGCTCGCGGCCCATGGGCGGCCCGGGGCGGGTCCGGTTCGGCCCGTTGACAATGTGAATATTCACATTGACATGTTAACATTCACATTAATAGGAGTGTAAAATTGGCCCCCGTCCCGTGGACTACAACAAAATATCAAATCATCTCAAACTCCCATACTCTAAAACTATTTCTAAAATATACAACCAAACAAACTAAAAAAAAAAATTATAAATTCATATTTACTTATGAGATTAAAATTACAATTGAAACTTTGATTATACAATTATATATACAATATATATAAACATACTAAAAGAAAAGTAAATATTTTACTAAAATAATTATATCTACCACTACTATTATATAAATGTATTATATATAGTTAGCTATTATTTACATTTACATTTCTTAAATATATAAATAACATATTTATTTTATTTTTTATTCATATTTTTATATTATTTAATATATGAATAATAAATGTTAAATGAGTCCGCTAATGAGCCGAGTTTAGTATGTTTGGATTTATTTATTAAGATTTTAACAAACTCAAAATCGAGCTCGAACGTAAAAAAAAAAAAAAAAATAACGAATCGAGTTTGAATGAACCCTTATTGAGCCAAGTTCAAACTTGTTTATAAACAGTCTTATTTATTTACAGCCCTAAACACACCATAGTCAATTTGAAGGTTAATTAATAATGTTACCCATAAAAAATATCCAAAATCTATTTCATTAATTATGATTTATGTCTACCTCAGTAACTATGATTATGTGAATTATAAAAATTAAATAAAATTGTTTAGAAAATGCAATATTATAATTATTGTAAAAAATAAATTATAATCAAATTATTCACTAATACAATATTTTCAAATAACCTAATATTGTAAATAATTTTCGTGCATAGAACATGTAAGAAATTACTAATTTTAGTATTTATATAAGTAAATAAATTTTGTGTTGGTACAAGCTAAAAAATCTAAACAAAGTTTGTTTGTTTGTTATTTATTTATTTATTTATTTTATTTTTTTGAAGAATGGCCTTCTTTTTTAAAGTCGCCTTAGACCCTCACGCAGTCAGACCGGCCTGTAATCACGCCACTCGCTTTGATAGAATTTTCACAAAATTTTCAAAAGTCAATTTCTTACCATTAACCAATTAAATACATTTCAAAGTATAATTTGGACTGAATGTGATTGGTGATGAGACAAGGTTGCATTACAGTCAAGTATGACAACCAAACTAAGTTCCTATAGGTTGAAGAAACCTTTGGAAACAGGACTTATACCCTGTGGTCTATGGCTCCAAGATATGCGTTTGCTGAATAAGATATTCGAACGTGAGACTTGAGAAGGAGCAAACCTGCAGGCCCCGCCCACCACCCCTGGTTACTCAAGTATGACCTTGACTTGCATTATAGCCATAGATGCCCTCTAATATCTGTCATTTCATTAAGACTACAAAATTTTCCAACAAACCAATTGGGCTTGGTGAAATTGGGTATTGAGATTTTTTGACCTTTTTTAAAAAGTAATGTTAGAATAATTATTTATTTCGACCACATTATTGTATCATCTGATATGTTAATCTAATTGTTAGTATTACATTGGAGATATACGTTAGTGGTGAAACTTATTATATTGACAAGTAAGATATTAAAGATACGTATAATATGATATAAAAAATTGATAAATGTAATCTTATTGTGTTGTTAATAAGGAATCCATGACCTTACCTTCTATGAGACCAGGGTAAATCCTAGATATGTACGATCAGGGCTAGCTTCACATATCAAGTGAAAAAGACTCGAAATTAAGAGCTTTTGGTTATTTACGTGGGATCTTATTATTCAAGTTGACTTTGGTTTGAGAAATTTCAACTTTAAAATTTACAATGAAACAGAACCAAGAAAAAAAAATTATGTGAACCAAAGTGTTATTTACCAAGAATAGAGAGTAATTTTACAAAAGAATTGAGAGAAATCCAACATAAAGAAGTTAGATTAGGCAAATTAAACCCAAAAAGAGAGAACTGTGGATAACGGGTTAGGATAGGAAAACTTGCGCCTTATCCCTTGTTTGTTTACACAAATGGTCACTAGGATAAGGTTAGGGGTTAGGATAACATATTCAGCCTCTCAGGATTTAATTTTTGGGAGATTAATTTGTTTTCTTGTTTAATCCTGTCACATAAATTGAACAAACACAATGCCCATACTAGCGATTGGTGCACACGTAATGCTCCTATAAAAAATATATAATTTATAAATAAAAAGAATGAATAAAATTTATTTATGTTTTTTGAGATTTAAATATCTGAATCAGTTTAATTTTTTCGTAAGACAATTTTGAAGTCATTAATTGTAAAGTAATTTTGAAAATATGCGTTTGATGAAATTCACACCAAATGACATGCATATCTTCTACGCACATAGTTGGGGAATATTTCGGATTATCCAAATGAATTGTTCACATGGTCTAAGAACATG